ATGAATCTAGATGAATAGCAGCCCAAAAACGAGATAATACCTCAAAAGGAAGCCCCAACAGCAAGGAAATCTGAATCTAAGCAAAGCCCCTTGCTCCAAGCCTCCTAACTCTCCAAGATCTTCCTCCAACTTTCTTCTCCAAGGCTCAAATGCACTCAAATCCTTCACAATCACGCTTCTAGGGTTTTCTGGACTTCAAGGGAAGGTAAGGAGGCTGGGGAGAGGGTATAATGTCCTTTATATAGGGCTCATCCCCCGAAATTAGGGTTTTCTTCACTCAGCGCCTACTCGCCGAGTCAAGCCTTGGACTCGCCGAGTTGGCCACTTAACACGCGACCTGAGTCGCGACCCTACTCGTCGAGTCTACCCATGGACTCGCCGATTTGCCCTTTAAATTTACACTTTGAACCCTGAACTTGCACTCCTGGACTCGGGATGTTACAATAAACAATTTAAATATGGTACCTGTAAATCCGGATGTTACAATCATATGTGATTATATATATCTAATCACATATGATTTATATAGACATCATTATTTTTTTTTCCGTATAAATCATATGTGATTAGATACATAATTCACATATGACTATATGTATTTAATCACATATGATTACAGTGGACATAGAACAATTATTGAATCAAGAATGTGACAATGAATCTCATCCACATAAATCATATATGGTTGGATACATATAATCACATTTGATTATATGTATTTAATCATATATGATTTATGTATATAATATTTATTTTTGCGGTTTCGACTGAATAATTGCTTTTGTGTAATTAATCACATGTGATTATATGTATATAATCATATATGATTTGAGGTGGACAAGTTGCATTTTTTCCTTCTCGATTCAATAGTTGTGCTCATGTACTTAATCACATATGATTATACATATAATCACATGTGATAAAATACATGAGAACACCTATTAAGTCAAGAAAGCAAAAATGAATTATGTCCACATAAATCATATGTGATTAGATTTATATAATCACATGTGATTATATGTATTTAATCACATATGATTAATTTGGATAAAGATTTGTTTTCGCGTTCTTAGTTCAATATTTGTTATCATAATTACATTTGATTGTATGTATCTAATCATATATGATTTAAATAGACAATATTTGTTTTTTTTTCAAATAAAATCATATGTGATTAAAAACATATAATCACATCTGATAAATATGTTTAATCACATATGATTAAAGTTGAATAAAAACAATTACTGAATCGAGAACGTGAAAAAGAATCTTAGCCACATAAATCATATGTGATTATATACACATAATCACATGTTATTAGGGTATTTGTGAACAATAACATAAACACAAGTAATGCCTACATAATAGGAGGGTCAGTACTCATCTCCTTGATCTTGAAAATTAGCTAGCATGAGCAAGATGGATACTTTCCTTTCCGAGAACCTACAAAAAAATTGTAACATTATTTAGCTTGTTTTTGTTGTATTAATCTTATAAAACTTATGTACATATTTCCTTATTTTCTCTTTGATTGTAGTCCTCTGTTTGGGATATGTTTTCTTACCTTTCAACCCATTATTAAATTCTGATAAAATTATATTGGTAAAGTTCCCCCTTTTATCTTTTTAGAAATATAAAGATCTCATTCTAATGATTTTTGGCTTATTTTATATTAAATTTACAAGTTGGTAACTTTTAGCTGTCATTTTATGGACCACTCAGCACTCTTGGAATAAACTGTATTAATCTACTAAGAATTACATCAGTCCCTTTATATTTTGGAAACTATACATCCATATATAACTCTAGGATTTGGAATTTTGGCATTTGGAGTTTTGATGAATTTATTATGATTTTTTGAATACAATGCATGAAATCTTAGACAGCATGGACCGGCCTGAGAAGATTGCCAATTTTACCCCTCAAGGAGTTGGAATTTCGAAATGTGATTCAAAGTTCGAAGAAATTAGACACACTAAGATTTCCATAAAACTAAGTCTCATGATTTTTAGATGTTCGTATTGACTTGCACGGATTTTAGACGTTGGAGGACAGATTTGGTAAAATTGATCATAATATCTTCTAAATCATTTTTGGTGTTCTATTAAGGATTTAATGGTTAAGCCTTATGTTTATCACTTTTAAAATGATTGTTGGTTACTTATTAGGCTATAGAGATGTGAAATTCAATTTAACCTAAGGGCCTTAATGTTTGGCTTAATGAGGGTTCAAAGTTAAGGATTTTAAAAAAAATGTCACTTTGGGGAAATGAAGTCCATTAAAAAAACAAAGGTAAATTAAACAGAGACTTGAAAATGATGTTGTTTCAGCAAAAAAACCATCAACAAGCACCTACATACTGCAACAATAGATACACCACCTTATTCTTGATTTATTTATAAATGTTTTTTCACTGAGGCATTTCATCGAACACTTGGTGTTCATAAAAAATCTTTAAGATGTCACAATGTCTATGAGATTATATGAAACAAGATAGAAGTTAATTACCCCAAATGAAAGAGTAATGAAGCAACAATAACAACAAGAATCACTAATCATCCAGCAAGTATGTATTTGACGTCATTCAGAACTCATAATAAGATGTGTAAGCTCAAAATCCAAGAAAATCACCGAGAATGTGAATCTGATTCACATTCGTTTGCTTTAATAAACTCATACAGATCAGATTTCCGTAAGCTCAAAATCCAAGTATATATCTCGAAATTTTTGTAAAAGGTGGTAATAAGATGTGTTTGATTTCCATAATGGATGGGTGAAGAAGGAGCCTAAGAAGCTTAATCTAACGAATGATCCTAACAACAACAGAAGCACGTTCGAATATATCATTTATATTTTTTATTGCTACTTTCTCGCTGATATTAGTATGAATTTCCTTATTTGTTTGCTGATTTAATCATCCACCAAGCAAATGCTACACTACAATTACTTACAAATAAATGCTAACGATGATCTCCTTGTCGGGGTGATATCAGAAACAAGATGCTTCGACGGAAGTCCGGTGGCTTCAGTGAAGGTCGGGTGGCTTCGATGGTGGTCCGATGTGAAAAATGAGATGAGAAAAGATACGTCTTTGTGGGGTGGGGTATGATATTTTTTTATTTATCTAATTTAGTTATGACAAACAAGCGTGTTTTTTGAACTTACAGCTAAAAAATGTTCTCAATCTCAAAAATGTTCTCATTTGAACATAACTCTCTCTCTCTCTCTCTCTCTCTCTCTCTCTCTTTCTCTCTCTCTCTCTCTCTCTCTATATATATATATATATATATATATATATATATACACACTAGCTGTTACCCGCGCACAGCGGCGGGGACAAATAGCTTCTTTCAACGATATTTTTTTAAAGAAAAATGTTATGTTCCAAAAGAAAGTTCATGTCGTGGGTGAGAGGAAGGGCGGTAGTCGTGATAGTGGTTAGTTGAAGGTGGGAGGAGGCAGAGCGGCTGTGGTGGTGGTGGTTATACTGTCTTGGTTACTGGTTAGGGTTCTTCGAGAGAGTGTGCGTATATTTCTTACTTTGAAGGGATTACGAAGATAGATATTATGAGATGGTTTGTTACCAATGTGAGAGAAGAGATCCTCTATAAATTGTTGACATTGACCGCTTCAAATGGCCGAAGTGTTGAGATTGGCGGGTTCAATTTGCAAATGAATTCTTCTATTAATTTGATACCAGATTTTTAGGGGATAAATGATAGGGTTAAAGTTTTAATATTATTATATTATAAATGGGTTGTACTTCAAGCTTAATAGTTTGGACGTCTTAAAAAAATAATATTATTATATTCAATCTATTTATAGAAATAGTTAGATTTCTTTTATAAGTAGTAAAGATATATATATATATATATATATATATATATATATATATATATATATATATATATATATATAAACACACACGAAGACCCAAATACGTTGCTTAGGTAGGGGTTTACAAGATGATTAATATCAATTTTCAGTTTTGAATTTAATTGTAGATAATTTATGTAATAATATTTTTCAAGATTTTTTTATAGAGTCTCAATTTTGATTTTCGCACAAAGCCTTTGAAGTTTTAGGCTATTTGTTGTTTAAGAGCAAATTAGTGTTATAAGTCATGCAATCCATATTGCATCAGACTATGAGTGATAATTTTCGATCCAACCCGTAACCCGATACGAAAATAAACGGATTTGAGTTTCGATTTTTGTCCTGTTAATCCGTCAACCTGTATATTTAACAGACTGGGTTGAGTTAACTGTTTGGGTTCACGGGTCCATCCGCCAACCCGACTATATATTCTATATTTTGAAAAAATTAAAATTTTATTTATGAATTAAGAGAATATGATCAATATACAATGTTTGAAACCCTTTTTTTTCAAATTTGTTGCTTATTAAGTTATTATGTTAGACTGGTATTTGGTTGTTCATTTTATTCTAATCAATATAAAATGATAATTATTAATTAATTTAAGGATGTGTATAATTCGTATAAATTTAACATGTGAAAAGTCATTCAAGGATGACCCATCGAATCTTTCAACCCAAAACGACCCACTAACTTACGAACTCATATATTTAAAAGTGTTATATGAGTTGGGTTGGGTTGGTGTTTATAACCCACAAATCCATCGACCTGTATATTATATGGGTTGGGTTTGATCAATATATTATGACATGTGTCCTGTCAACCCGTGACCCGTCGATCCGAACTCAACCCAATTGTCAAGCCTACGTTAGACTTGAATTAAATTTTGTGGAGTATTTATATAAATTCAAATTATCCAAAATGACTTGGATATTATAAGAAAAAACATTTGCAGGATCAAATGTTATAATTTTTACAAGAAATCTAATCTGGGGTAAGGGTCGAAATGTACTGAACAGTGAACACACTCTTTTTCTAACCGGGTAGATTTGTTTGGCAACCAAAATACCAATGACCCGAAACTCTATAAATAACAACAATGGTATCATCAGTTTCCAAATTGTGCCGAATACAAACGTAAAAATCCAAACCACCTTGATCGGCTACCTCCGCCGTTGATCCTCGTCTCTGTCCTCCTCTTCCTCCTGCTGCTAGAAATTTAGAGGGAGGAGAAGGAGCTAGTTATCGTGGCCGTGACATCGACTCATTGATTATCTGATCGATCATGGGGCGGAGAAGAGGTTCGGCTGTGAACAAGCTGTTCGCTTGGGTTCGTAGGCAGTCGATGAAGGTGAAGATCTTTTTAGCCGTTACATCTCTTATATCTTCCCTTGTCGCTCTTAGACTTTTAGTGAAAGACACCAATCAGTTTTTCCTTGCATCGGAATCTGTTCACGCCGCCGGTATCATCGTTCTCATTTACAAGTTAACCACTCAAAAAACCTGTTCTGGTATGTATATATCATCCATACCCTTCATGAGTCTGTTTCAAAGTCTCAAATTGTTATATGCTATTCTTTAATTTGATATCCTTATATTATTGCTACTCGATCGCATGCAGAGGAATCTTCCAATTCTATGTTGTTCCGATTGGGGGGTTCCTTAGTTTTTTGGTGTTATAATTAGGGTTTATGATTTCAGATGCTGAACGCACCCGGCGATTGATTTTACATTCATATTTCGTCAAAACGAAGTTCCCCTCATTCTATATTATGTAAAATTGCGACTGCTAGGAAAAATTAACACATTATTAAATCCATACAATTTTATTGGATGCATTCTTCCATTCGCAGGCCTTTCGTTGCAGACACAAGAGCTCACAGCCATGTTTCTAGCAGTAAGATTGTTTTGTAGCTTTATGATGGAACATGACATCCACACTGTTCTTGATTTTGCTACATTGGTGTCTACTCTTTGGGTCATTTACATGATCCGATTCAAGCTTAAAGCAACATACAATTCAGATCTAGACAGCATGCCTAAATATTATCTGGTAAACCCTAAACACAAATACACAATTACACAACTACACAACCCCTAATCTGCATCATGAAAATATGAGTCGTTTTTTCAATTATTTTATTTTATCTTTTCTTGATCGCAGATTGTGCCATGTGCTATTCTTGCTCTGTTTATTTACCCACACACATTTCATTCTCATTTGAGCAAAGTTCTGTGGGCTTTCTGTGTCTACTTGGAAGCAATTGCAGTGCTTCCTCAGCTTGTAACGATGCAAAAAACAAAGGTTTGGACTTTGGACTTTGGGTTTGTAAATAAATAATTAAATAAACATAATAAATAAATTATTAAAGATCTGTTTTTATTTTTTATTTTTTTTGCAAAATTTTAGATGATTGAACCATCAACCGCGCACTATGTGTTTGCACTCGGAGTTGCAAGATTCTTGGGATGTGCGCATTGGATCATCCAGGTCCAGTTTCCACCTTTGTCCAATCAATATCGGTGTTTTTACATCAAATACAGTATAACATGTTCTGTTTTGTCATGTCATGTCTGGTATATTATCTGTGTTCGCAGGTGTATGAATCTGCTGGAGCTTATCTGTTCTTGCTGGGAAGCGGCTACTTTTGGCTGCCAATGGTGTTGGTAGCGGAGGCGGTTCAAACACTGATTTTGGCAGACTTTTGTTATTATTATGTTAAGAGGTAATCTAATGGTTTTCTTTTAATTAGATTATTAGATTAAATATAATATATAGTTTATTAATGTTATGGTTTTGTGTATTATATTGCAGTGTTGTGAACGGACGACTTTTAGTCAGTTTGCCACCTGTCTAAGTTTGGTTGGTGAAACGTGTATATGATGTTTACAGGTTTTTGATGGATGGTGGTAAACTAAAGTTTCCGGGTCTTTTTTTATCGTCTCATTCTAGTGAGATGTAGCAATGAACTCAGGGAAATGTGTATCATCTAAACTTGTTTTATGTTTTTTTTTTTTTTTTTTTTGCTTTGAATGCTTTTTTTTTAAAAGAAAAATTAGGGTGGGTGACTTTTTGGAAAGAATGAGAGTTGTATGCTAAATTTAGGATTTGCTGTCAACTCGAACTAAAAGTTTATAGGTGACAAAAGGAGTAAATTACACGAATGGTCCCTATGGTTTAGGGTAGGGCTGTAAACGAACCAAACAAACACGAACAATGTCTTGTTCATGTTCGTTCGTTTAAGTTAGCCGAACAACAAACGAACACGAACGGATAAACGAACGAGATTTTCTTGTTTATGTTCGTTCGTTTAACAAATTACTTTGTTCATGTTCGTTCATTTATGCTCGTGAACATGCTAAAAGAACATAAATAAACAAAGATTAAAAAAAAAAAAAAAAAAAAACAATTAAACATATATGAATATAAACGAACATATAATATAGCAATATAATAAAAAATAACTGAATATAGATGAATATAAATAAACTTAAACGAACGAACATAAACGAACGTAAATGAACATCGTAAACGAATGTTCGCGAACATAAATGAACGAACGAGATCATTTTTGTTCATGTTCGTTCATTTATTAAATAAACGAACATAAACGAACTTCCCGCCGAACAGTTCACGAACGGTTCGCCGAACGTTTACTTCGTTTACAGCCCTAGTTTGGGGTAATTTTAATGTTTGTTTGCTTTTTTTTTTTATTTTAATTCGAAAGGTTCTTAATGTTTGTTTTTTGTTACGCGTTTGGTCTTACCTAAAAAAAACTATTATTTAAATAGGGAAAAATGGTGAAGTAAGCAAGCTAAGGTTAGAGAAGTGTTTATTTAAATAAATTAAAAAATCAAGGTAAAAATAGTTTTTTTAGGTGAGATGGGAACCAAACGTGTAACCAAAAAAAAAAAAAACAGTATGGATCTTTTGAATTAAAAAAATAAGTTAGAAACTAAACATACAAATTCTTCTAAATCATAGGAACCATTCGTATAATTTACTCAGTGTATCGGTTGATATCGGGCCCACCAATATTTCTTTTTTTTATTTTTGTTATTTTTTGAATATTTTCTAATAAATGAAAATAATTTTGTCACTTATCAATTTTTCAATCTTTTATGAATTTTGATACTTGTTATTTTGTGATATTTTTGAAATAAATATTATCTACTTGTTAATTTCTGGATTGTTTCAATTTTAAAATTAAGTAATATATTTGTATATGTAAATTATTTAATATAATATTTATAATATTAAATTGCAATGAATGCGTTCCTTTTTTTAAAAGTTTGCAATTAAAAAACATTTATTGTTTTCATTTTAATGTTTAATCTTTTTTTTAAATCAACCCTGTAATATACAGATCTCACACCTGGTAGTTAATACATTAAATGTGATTAACAAAAGTTTGGATTTTTTAATAAAAATTATTTCGAAGACAAGCCTTTTCTCGTAAAGATGGCAAAAAAAAACCCCATACCCAATGGGCAACCCAAAACCCGCATCCGTTTTGACGGGTAATCTCCAAGTTGATCGGGGATAGGGAATCCCCGAATAAGAAAAATGGGGATGAGGATGAGGATACCTTTAATCTCTGACCCTAGGCTCGAGCCCCGACATATATTAATATATAAAATTAATACATAACATATATTTATAATAAAGTTTATAATACATAAAATTTGATCTAATAATCTAACTCACTAGTAATTACTTGGTTGGAATTATACTTTTGTTTTTTTCTTTTATCTAATTTAAACTCATGTGTGTGTGTGTGTGTGTGTGTGTGTGTGTATATATATATATATATATATATATATATATATATATATATATTCTCTTTGGTTGATTTATTTTACCTTAAATATTAATCTGATAATTTTTTTCTACTTGATTTTTTATGTATGTATTTAAATTTGGTAGAAAATTTATTTATATTTTTTATGCGATTTATGGATACTTATATATTTTATAAAATCTTTAAACTTATGCTAGTAAAAATGAACTTTTGAGTTTTTTCTTACGTTAAAATTTGCATATTAAAAGAGAAAAAGAAATCCTTGTTTCCCTGTTGGGGATCCCCAGTCCCCGTTGGAGTGGGGATGAGAGTTTATTTATATTCCCGATGGGGATGGGGATGAAGATGAGGATTGAAATGAGGATTCAGGGATAAGGATGCAGATTGAGATCCTCTGTGTTCTCCGTTCCCGTTGCCATCTCTACTTTCTCCATAAATACTTCAACGCGTTTTCCTTTATTTTTGTTCTTTTCTTATAATTATGAGACAAATTCTTGCAAGTTGACCTTTTAGCTTATTACACTAATACGATGCAAATTGTTTTACTTTATTAAACCTTCAAATATCTATTTTGATAATTTATTTTTTGAGTTTTTTTAAGTTGTAATCTTTGGTAAGTCAAAAATAATTTATAAAACTAATTTTTTAAAAAGCAATTTAAACTAGTTTTTTAGGGAGATTTTTTTTTAAAAATTTAGGGAGATTTAAAAAAAATTCAAATATACCTCAATTAATTATAAAAAACATTTTTCTAAATGTCTTTATGTTATTTTATATTTAGTTAGTTTATCGGTTAATTTTATCAAACATTATTTATTATTAACTATAATTTCAGTTATCAACTAGTTTTCATGTAACAATTATCTCGTTAACTATCTATTAACTTTTCAGCTAATACACTAAACATATCATTAGTTTAAGAAAATATTAAAAAAAAATTAACACCGTTTGTTTATTCATAAGAAAAAATAAAGGAACCCTAAGTCTATTAACTAATATGTCCATGTCAACTAGCGATATACTTTTTCTAGTGTATTCAGACTAATGTATTTTTTTTGTTTATATTTTGTGACCGGATGCAAAAATAAGGCAAGTTAGGTTCCTTTTTCGCGTTAAATAGCAACATATTTTTTTTGTGACCTCAAAAAGGAAACCTAATTTCTATTCAAATTATATGGCTTATGAATAGCTATTATATATAGTTCTTGATTTTTCCTTTTTGTTCTTGAATTCTTGAAATAGCCCATTTAAACGACTTCGTCCAAATCATGGTCACTAAAATTCTATTCATAAAGGTACATTAAAAACAAATTCTGAATATTACAAGAAATAACACCCTTCAAAACCTCCAAATGTATTTCCCTTTCTTGTTGATCTTCACGGATAAATTTAATACTCCATCCGTTCCAAAATTATTATCCACAGATAAAAAAACACACAGATTAATTAATCATTAGTTACCACTAACTTTATTCAATAAAATGACAGTTTTATTCTTATTTTGCATTTAATATTCCATTAAATGCTTACTTGGTTAAGTAATAATGAGAGACTATTTTAGTAAAAATGTTATTTATTTTTAGAATTAGATTATTATTTTGGAACAAACCAAAAAAGAAAAATAAACTATAATTTTGAAACGCAAGTATTTAAGTTAATGTGTTTTCCTTTATTTATGTTGGCTTGAGAAAACCTTGCAATCTCGGAATCAAGCTGTTGAGGGTAAAATTTGGATGTTTGCTATTGAAGGAGGGGATTATGAAAACGAAGCCATAGAAAACCAATTTTCTTAAATTCGAAAGATATGAAATGTGGTAGTGGGATGCAAATCATGGAGAAATGCATGTATATTAATAATAAAACAAACTTTTTAAGGATGTTACAACTATCGCCCCTTAAAAGGATTGAGCCCTCAATATCGATTAATAAAATGATCTTGACTTTACATGAAATAAGAAATACTCAATTTTAATATTTAAGCTCTATCCTTATAGGCTTCTCTGAAAGTTTGTCACACTTACGTTTATTATACTTTTATCATGATCATAAAACGATCAAAACTATAACGATTTCACTTTTCACAAGTCAAACAATTTTTCTAGCCACTTTAGTTGTTGCATTGTATCATGATCATAAAACGATCACAACTATAACAATTTCACTTTTCACAAGTCAAACATTTTTTCTAGCCACTTTAGTTGTTGCATTCATTCATGTATGATTGCTTATATTTTATCATCATTCGTCTCACACACACAAATATATATATATATATATATATTATATATATATATATATATATATATATATATATATATATATATATATATATATAAAAATAAAAGATTAAATTATTTTGTTTTTACTAACTATTGTGATAAATATGGACCAACGGATGGAATTAATTAATGGACATGATTTGAAAGTGTATGATATTACAATAGGATAGCATGTACTATAAAATAACAAAAATTTAGCAAAATGATTTGGACAATTAACTACAATTATAAAAGGAAAATTTCGGATTTTTAGGGATAATTAATTTCCTAATTTTAAATTTTAATTTTTTTTAATTAATTCAATTTTAATTCTAACGTAATTCATAAACATAACCGATTTTATTCTGTCAAAATATTTTTTTTGTTAGAATGATGCTCTTTCAGAATTTTACTTGAAACAACCCAAAATACGACCCAAAAATTTTGTTTTAATATTATTAAAAATCACATCATATATAATAAAACCACGAAATAAGCAACTCATATGGCATAGTATTGTGTCAAACAAATCTGTATCAATCATAGTAACATCCAAAATAAACTTCCACGATAAACTGAAGTTGTGGTATGTGCGATGCCATCATCCCGAGCTCTTCCCTTTGCTTGCGGAAGTACCTGAAATCAAAATTGAAACAGTAAGCACGAAGCTTAGTGAGCTTCCCCAAACTACCACATACCATACAATAACACATAAACAACTATTGGGCCTAGCCCACTGCATCGGACCGGAGTGCGAAAACTGCATCGGACTGAAGTCCGGAACTAACTGGGACCTTGTCCCGTGCATCAGACCGAAGTCCGGAATTGACTGCATCCGTGCATCGGATCGAAGTCCGGAACTGACTGAGCATAACATAGCATAACATAGACATATAAACTAGCATAAGCACATATACTGCATACTGCATCGGACCAAAGTCCGTAACACAT